ATCCTTAAAAGAGATTTCATTTTTATTGTAGTGTTTCTGTTTTGCTTAATTCTGTAAAGAAAAAGAAAATACTCCCATCGTTCTATCAGTGGCGTACGCAGAAATTTTTCAAGGGGGGGCCAACTTCGTAGGGGGGGGCCGCCATGGCACAAAAAATTTTTTATCACGCGAAAATATTTTTTCCTGTATCCCCCTCCAGGACTTTTTCGTCTCAAGGGGGGGGGGGGGGGGGGCTCAGGAGCTCGACACAGATTTTTTCTACCCGGGAGCATTTGTTCTCCCGCCCCCCCCCCGCGGGTGTTTCTGGGGCCGGGGGGGGGGGGGGGGGGGGGCCCGGGCCCCCTCGCTCCCCCCCTGCGTACGCCACTGCGTTCTATCAAAGTTTGAAGATGGTTTATCACAAAATGTCCCTTTTCATTGACTTTATCGGATTATTTAAACTGAAATGTACTTCGTAAGATCTTGAGTTATGAATGAAATCAAAATATTTTACTATTGTTAATGATTGATTTAAGATGCATAATTCTTCGAACTTACACGAATGTTTTTTTCTTCAACTGAATGTAACTGTTTGTTATTCGTACCGTCAAGAAAGATGTTTGTGAGGATAGAGAAGAGCGAAAATTCTATTTCTATACTTTAACACTCTTTTGATATCGTGTTTCATAAAATAATAATAATAATATTAAATACAAGAAAATACTTTTCTTTTATTAAAAATCAATAGATTGCACAGAGTGATCTTGGCCTTGAACAACGACAATATTATTTAAATGAAACAAAACTTACAATTGCTTATAGACAATTTATATATGATCTAGCTATGTCATTAGCAAATGATACAACAATGGTTGATAAGGATACTCGAGATATATATGAATTTGAAAAAAAAATTTCTATTGTAATTAGGTTTTTTTTTCTTTTGTCGTTTTTGTTGTATATTTAAATATTTTTATTTTAATAGTTTCATTGGACAACTGCTGAACAACGTGCAAGACAAAGTGAAATAATTCGTATAACAATTGGTAATCTATCAGGAATATTTAATACAAGTGTTCGTAGTTGTTCTTTTTCTTTCTTGTGTATTTTGTTGTTTTCTAAGAAAAAATATAGTTTTTTTTGTTTTTCTCAAAAATTTAGTTTGATTTTACAAATTATCTTCGTCAAATTTATCATTTAGCTAATGTTACATTATTAGATAATGATAATGTATCAGTTAGTGAATTAGAATTTTTACGTAATGCATCATTAATTATTGATCAACATTCATCACGTGTTGTACAAAATTATTTTATCTGGAGATTTATGATGAATAGAGCAGCTAATATGCCCAAACGTTATCGTGTTATAAGAGAACAATTTGATAGAGTGTTTCGAGGTACTAATGCTGAACGTCCACGTTCAATATCATGTGGTGCTTATGTAAATAATAATATGGGTTTTGCTGTAGCTAAACTTTATATTAAGAAATATTTTGATGAAAATGCCAAAAATCAGGTATTGAAAAGAAACTTCACTCTTCATATTCACATTGAATATTACTTTTACATTTGAATTTAAAATCCTACATATAATATTTAGTCATTGGAAATGATTCATAATATTCAGAGTGCATTTATTGAGCTGCTTGAAGAATCTACATGGATGGATGATGTTTCAAAAAGTAAAGCAAAAGAAAAAGTGAGTTAAAAAAAGAAAAACATTATTATGCAAATTAAATATGATATTACTAAATAGGCTTTAGCAATTGATGAAAAAATTGGTTATCCAGAATATTTAAATAGTGATAATATTACAGAATTAGAAGAAGATTATGCTGAAGTAATAGATAATTTTTATTATAATTTATATTCTATTTGATTATTTGATTTAGTATATTTTTAATGCATCTTATATTCATAATGTTTTGAAAATGTTAAAAATAAAATCTAAAGAAAATTTTAAAATACTTCGTGAAACTGTTGATCGTAAAGCATGGGGTGCTAGTCCACCGACTGTTGTCAATGCTTTTTATACACCAGCAAAAAATCAAATTGGTAAATAGGTTTTTATTTTTGGTTTATTAAAAAGAATTTATATGAGACATATATTTGTATTTTCTCTTTTAATCTTTATAAGTTAAGATGATATTATATTTTCTTTTTGTTTTAGCTTTTCCAGCCGGTATTTTTCAAATGCCATTTTTTAATAAAGATGCACCGCAGTAAGATGTTTTTTTTTTCTCTTGTATTTGTTTTGAAATAATAAGGTGTTATTCTTTATGTAGATACCTCAATTATGGTGGTAAGTTTGTATCCAATAAGAGAAAAAGATTAGGAAAAGAATATAAATAAATACATAAAACTTTTAGGCATTGGCGCTGTGATTGGACACGAAATCACACATGGTTTTGATGATAATGGTCGTCAATATGATAAAGAAGGAAATCGAATACTTTGGTGGACGTCAGAAACAATTGATCGATTTAATAAACGTAAAACATGTATAGTTGATCAATATAGTCAATATGTACTAGAACAAATAAATATTAGCGTAATGAATTATCATCTATAAGACGTTTGTTCTATTTTTCTCATAATATTCTATTATAGATAAATGGTAATCAAACTCAAGGTGAAAATATTGCAGATAATGGTGGAATTAAAGAAGCATTTTATGTAAGTTTAATATATATTAGTATCTCTGTATTATTTTAGAAATCAAGAAGAAAAAGAAAAAGACATTTAATCTTACGGACATAGATTGCATTTCGATAGGCACATCAAAATTTCTGGAAAACGATATATGATAAAAGTTTGCCTAGCTTGAATCATCATGCTAAATCAGCAACTTTCTTTTACTAAGATTATTCAGATACGTGCTATCACGGATGCGATAATTTATGATTTTATTTTCTAATACTTTAACCTTATTTATCTAATGTACGTGTGTCATGATTTATATATATATTTCTAGGCCTATAGAAAATGGGTTCAAAAACATGGAAATATTGATAAAAAATTACCTGGTTTAGTTAAATATTCATCTGAACAAATGTTTTTTATTAATTATGCACAAGTATGGTGTTCAAAAATGACTGATTCATATGCTATGAATAGAGTTTTAACTGGTGTTCATTCACCTGGACAATTCAGGTAAATACATTTTCAATAAAAAAAAGTCTACTGAACAGAATCTTAATATTTTAAGAAAAATTGTCTATTTAATATAATGAACAGTTTCTTTTAATACAAGAAATTTAGACTTACGTACTTTCTCAAACACACAGCATAAATTTATCAAATAGTTTTTAATAAGTTTCACTTTCTACTATCTAAAACAACAGACCATTGACTTCTTAGTAAACGAATCTTTTCCAAAAATCTCACGTTATCTTTTCTTTTATGAGAGTAACATGTAAAAGTTCAGTGCTAAAACTGGGATCTTAACTTTCAGTATTTTGTAAATCCGGGTAGGAATGTCAAAAGCGAAAAAGGTTGATTTAACCTCTAGAGAATACTTTCAAGTATCAGTGGACTTGATTGACTGTATCATCTTCAAGAATCAGAAACAGTCAAAAACAAAAAGGTAGAGGTGACCTTAGCTTTCTGAAGTATGAGTACAAACATTCGTAAAACTTGTACAAGTAACAATATTTAAAATTACTACTCATTGTGATATAGGTGAAGTAAACACGCCAATCCACGCTCACAAAAAAGGACTAATAGGAACTACAGAGTGAAAAATATGAAAGTTATAGTAGCTTAAAAAACATAAAAGTAAAAACGAAATGAATTTAACTGTTCGTGAGCCCCTTAAAAATGTCACTTCCCTTCAGAATGATCGAAATTAAGATAAATGCATAGAAAGATAGTCCATGATCTGATCCTTTATAGATGATAACAATTTTTGAATATTTCCTTCATCTTCTATTCGAAAAATATGCTGTTTTCATAAAAAATGAAAATCTTCTTTATTTTTTCTCTGTTTATAGTTTTTCATTGCACATTGCAAAATTTTCCAAGGTACTTCAGTATGGCCGATAGGTTTTTTTTTTTTTTTTATTTGGAAGAGCATGTCAAGATGCAGTACAGTATAGATTCGTTCTTTTTTTTAATTAAGCTTTATTTTTATTATATGTACAAACACTTATATTTAATAAACACCCTTTTTTTTGAGAGTTTTTTTAGTCATTGAACTTGTCATGCTTTTCCTCCACTTAAAAAGTAAGAATTTAAAAAAAAAGGGCTCTGTACTGCACTCCATCCTGACATATTCTATCAAATCAAAAAAAAAACTTAAATATATTAGAAAGAACCGAAGCAGAGAAATTTCGCTTGTCATATGAGCTATTTTTGACCCTTGTTTGATGAATATATCTTTGTCAAGCGGAAATTTCACCATAGCCTTCTTCACTACCGTATCAATATATCTTTCAAATTTCAAGTGATTTGAAGGAAATAGCCTTAACATCAGTAGATAAAAGTCGTATATTTTTCAAAATTTGTAATTGAACACCATGTATTGTTCACTAATAACTGTTTCAATAGAATACTATAGAAATCTATTGGTACTATTTTTTTTAAAATTTCAATCTATAATAACAAGTTGAAGTTCTTCACTATTGATAAAAAATCTTTATTTGATTTTTTGTTTTAGAGTACTTGGTCCAACATCAAATTTTGATGAATTTGATCGAGTATTTCGTTGTAAACCAGGGCAAGGAAATAGTCGAGTAGATAAATGTACTGTATGGTAATATTTGCGAGACAAAACTATTTCTTTTGTTTTGTTTTTTTTTACCTATTCATGTCCGTTTTAATCATTCACATGTAAAGACAATGACAACAACAAAAACGAAATAATAACAAATGAACGAATAACAAAAAAAAAAGTGTTTTTCTCCTTTTCTTTTTAAGTATTTCGGTTTTTTTTGTCTTTTTTTTTTTTTCTTTCTTTTATCTAAAAAAAAACAAAATACTTCGATACTTATTGAGATATATATATATATTCTGTTTATTTTAGTCATCTTTTTTTCGTTTTTTCTTTTGTTGTTGCAACTCAGATGAATTGTTATTCGCCGTATTAGGATTTATCGATCCTATTTGCTGCTTTTTAGATTTTTTTGATGATTTTCCTGTTGAAATCATTTGATTTTTTCTATCACCAGCATTATGTTGAATATCATCATCACTTGTTCCACTCATTGTTTCGAATTGATCTTCATCATCATCTGATGAATAACCACCAAAATCAAATGGAGGTTCTTTAGAAAGAAAGAAAAAAATTTATTTCTAAAAATTAATATTTTTTTTTACCAATTATTTTCGATGTTATTAAATGTACTGGACCATCACCTTCAACTAATTTAAATGTCACTTCAGTTGTTTCAGTTAATAAAACTCGAAGATTAAATGCTGAAATCTATCAAAATTTGATATATTTTAAGCTGCAAAAAAAGAAAACTCGTGTCTTACCGAATCATTTTTATTAAGTGATAATGAAAGAATTGGTTGATCAATAATTGTTTTATCGCCGGAACTATCTTTTATTGTTAGATGTACCAAATTTCGTTGATCAGCTTTTACTCCAACACCAAGAACAGCCTGAATTGAAAGAAGAACAAAAAAAAAATCCTATGTTTAAAAGTTATGAGAAACCATAGAATATGCTATTTTGCTTTATATATTAACGATGGACAATTAAAAGTTCTGATCGACCGAATATCCTTTTGTTTTTCACAAATGTTTCGACTGGTATGAGAAAATGGTCTCTATCAAACTGTATATAAGCTTCTGTCTTATCCATAAAAAAAGGATGTCTCGAGGTCGATCAAGTATGAGCTGATACTGATGTATTTTTCTAAACCTTTTTTTGCTCTTAGTATCCTATAGAGAATCTATAATGAAACTGTATGTAATGTTGAGTATGTCGAAGAATATCACTATTTACAGATGAAATAGGATGACAACAGGTCAGTATGAATTTCAGACCAACCAGTTCCATCTCTGAGGTCAAATACTCAGAAAGCTTTTGATTAAAGTTGACCGGATTTTGAGAGAGGGGTTCCTGCTCGAAACATTCTTGCTCATAAAACAGTGCTCGACATGACAATTGATAAATAACTCGTTGTTCGCGTCAAATAAACATGTACTCAGAAGTAAAAATCCTATGATTGATTATCTCCTTCATAGTAGTAGATGGAGAATTTTGAGAAACGGAGGCGATCATGATCACGAAATGTATTTGAAAGGTCATATCGACTTATTTTCGAGCATTTTCTACTAAAAAAATACTTCCGACAGAAGGGACGACAGCTTCCTCCCCCCCCCCCCCCCCGCTCTAAATTCGCCACTGTCTCTAGTCATAACTGAAATATTAATTTGAGTAAAAAACAGACTTCTTTAATATAAAATTTAACATACACTGTGAACGACCAAAATTGTTTGAAGAGCAGACATTTCATCATTACTTTCTTCATCATCTTCGGTTTCTTTCGCTTTCTTCTCAGTATCATTAACAGGCCACTTAAATTGTTTTTTATTGGCACTTAATTCAAGCCCAATAATTTTTTCATCCAAAACCATTTGTTCACGCATAGAAAAGAAATTATAAAAAGCAAAGAAAACGACAAATCTGTAAAAAAAAAAATAGAAAAAGAAAATAACAAATTTATATTTATACCCGCAAAAAAAAAATTTTACCAACTTATAAATAAAAATGAGTCAGACGTACCTTGCCTGTATCAAATGCCTTCGAAAAGATTTTATTTAAAATAATAAATTAATAAAAATACAAAAAAAAAACTAATATCATTTCTTATATCAAATCTATTATATGTTTGTTTTTTGTTTTTTTCACTGCACTTCAAATCAATGATAGACGTCGCTCTAATTCAGTGTTTCTTCAACAAACGAGAAATTAATAGCTTGAATATTTTTCTTTTGTAATGATCGTTATGTGCTTGTCGTTTTCCCATCAAAAACAATTGATATGTAGACATTTTTCAAGAGGAAAAGATCGATTCAAAATGACATCACACTCAATAATCTCACAATGAGAGAACTTTTTCTTCTCTTCAACTAATGAAGCTTGCCAGTTATATACAGAAGAGAAAAGAAGCAAAAAAAAAAAAACGAGAGAAAAAGCGTATCGAAATTGATCGATGAGGAAACATTCACTCCTGTTGTGTGTGCATTATTACGAAATTCAAGTGTATAAACGCGTGTGACGAACACGGAAACATTATAATTGTAGACTTATGATGCATATATATTCTTTTCGTTCTTTTTCTCATTTCTAAAAGATCAAATTTCGATTTAATCATGTCAAGAATTAAATAATCCATTGAATCGTTAGAATATATATATATATATTAAACTCTATTACAAAGTAGTGAAAATTCGAATGAAAGGTTGAATATTAATTATCTGTTTGATATGATATTCATGACAAATCAGAGATTTATTGTGATGGTGAACTGACGAGAGTATAGCAACACTCTATTATCTTGCCAGAAATTTATACAATAGAGTGTCGATGATGTTCACTTTTACGTTATTCTTTTTTCTGATAGTAGAATGGCGTACGATCTTTTGGTTATGTCACTACAGTATGGACAATGGTCAAAAACCAGCTGCCGGAGCCTATATTTAAGATAGTTTAACTCTTTTTTTTTCGTTTCTGCTGAGAAAAAAAATGCAAAAAAAAAATTCGTCATGGGTGGTGATTATCGCTTTACCACCTTCATAAATTCGCCAATGATTGCCGATTTGAAAAACATGATTATGATCAAAACACGAAAAAGGTAGTCACCATTACTAAGCTTTTATAACATAAAATAGTCAATAAAATATTTAATAATATATTCTATAAATCTGTTATTTTTAATAGTAGTCCAACAGGAGGATGTAAAACACCCCAGCCAAACGTAAAAAAAAATTTATTTTTTTCCAACAGAACTGAAATTCTCTTTTATTCCATAAAATCCCGATACCATGCCCATGCATCAATGTCGGATTGCTTCGAGCCATCATTAGTTTCTAACTTCAAATAATCAAATAAAATAACACAATCCATAGATAATAATAATTATAAAAATTATATAATGATTTTTTTTTATTGTAAATCTTAAAATCTCAAAGAAAACGATTTCGAAAAATATGTTTTATTTTGTAATACTAATCTATTTTAATATATCTCATTGCTCTTATCTAAGTGTATTTCATGGCTATGAAACTATAAAAAGCAAATCAATTTGCTGTAATATCAATTACAATCATTCCCATAAAACCTATAACAAAATGATAATTTTAACTCAATTAGTTTTTTTTTGAATATATAAAAAAAAATTAAAAATATTTATTCTAATTTTTTTCGTTTTGTTATTTTCTAAGTATACAAAAAAATATTTTGTAGTGAGTACATAAATGTTCTTATTATTACTCATAGGTAAACTCACAATTGATCACAAGGTAATATATAATAAAAGCTATTATGAATATAACAAAAGAAAAACAAATAAATCTACATGTATACTAATTTTTCTCTATATTCTCTTCAGTTTAAAAAGACGAAGAGAAAAAAAAGAAAGAAATGTGTAAGGTGTTTGCAAATCGATACTATTATATGAAGGTAGTCACGGTATAGTGAGTCTTCTCTTTTTCTTCGGCTCATTTATTTAATTTGCCCTCGTCGAACAAACAGATTGGTAGTCACTAGTAAGAGAGAGAGAAAATTTTCTATTGGTTCATTTTTTTTTTTTTTTTTCTATACGCACAATGTTGTCTCTCGTTTCGTAGGTTTGCTTTTTTCTTTTTTCTTCTTCTCTTTCTCTCTTTACAATAAGAGAAAGCATACATCCGATTTGCTCTTACTGTTGTTCGACATGCATTTTAACATGCAAAAAAACACAGAATAGATCCACCGCTCTTTCTCTATATATACATACTCCTTCTTTTTGTTTTAGAAGAGTAAAACAACAATGAGTTCAATAACAAATAATTCTGTAGAAATCTCATCATTTTATCCTCATCTTTCAATGATGCCATCATTAATTAATAATGTTCCTAAATTACCACCAAATATTTATCGACCAAATTCATGGATGGATCTATCAATGCAACCATATTTTTATTATAATATAGCGTTAGTAAAATAAATACAAAAAAAAAGAAAATTTAAAAAGAATCTTGGTGTTTTTTTCTTTTTCAGTGTCAATGATCCCAATCATAAGCGAAAAAATGCGACACGCGAAACAACGGGTACGTTAATGACAAACGTGTTTATTCCCATAAGTCAATATCATCATTATTATTTGTTTCTCATCATCATATAAGAAGTTGAAATATAAAAAAGAAGAAGAAGAAAACGAGTCCCGCTCATTTGCTTGATGACAAAAAAAGACGTGACTAAGCAAAAAATCTCATCTCGTTTGATATGCAGATCGATTGCATACGTTACATTCCTCTAGTGTGTGTGTGTTCCAAAGCAAAAAAAAAAAACGCATTAAAAAACATTGATTAAATTCCTTTGAGCCTTTTTAAGTGGATGGGATCATTTCTTGCTTCGTTTTTTTCCCTATATTCTTCTTTCTTTTTTTTTTTTTCTATTCATTAAAGCTACACTTAAAGCATGGCTTTATGAACATCGAAAAAATCCATATCCAACAAAGAATGAAAAAATGATCTTAGCTATGGTTACAAAAATGACATTAACACAAGTTTCAACATGGTTTGCTAATGCTCGACGACGTTTAAAAAAAGAAAATAAACTTCATCGAACAACAAATAATAGTAAAAGTGAAGAAGATGAAGATGATGATGATGATGTTGTTGATGATGACGATGATGATGATGATGATGGAGAAGATGAAAATGAGAATGATAATGAATCTCATATGAATAATATTGAACAAGAACAGACAATTCAAAATTCAAATACAAATAATTTAAAAAGAAAACGTGATGATAATGATACAAATTCATTTTCAACACCACCAAAAACTCGACCAAAAATATGGTCTATTGTTGATGTTGTTCAATCGAATGAAACTAAACAAACAAATTCATCATCATCATCATCAAATATAATACATCCATATATTACACCTTCTATACCATATTTATTATATCCACCATCATCAACAAGTTCACCATCACGTTCATCTGAACATTCAACAAATTCATTATCATCACCGATATCATCATCAGCTAGTTGTTCACCGACGAAATAATAATTTCCAAAAAGAAAAAAAAAAAAAACTCAAAACAGAACATAAACTTTTTTCTTCTTCTTTTCTTCTTTTTCTTTTTTTTTTTTTTTGTATTTTGTTGTGAAAAATATAAATGTATATTAAAACGATCTTAGAAGTCAAAAGATCATATTCACAAAAAAAGTGTCAAATTAACGTGTGTGCTTCACACACACACACACTGGATAAAGATTGTCGTTTTTCGTTTTGTTTTCTTGACTGGTCAAGTGTCTAATAGCTGTCCATTAGTTTGTTTCATGTCTTTACTCTCTTCATATGAAAGATTTTTATATTCGATAAGTCGATACACACAACACCTTTTCTTTTTTTTCAATGTTTGTCTTATCATCTATATCGATGCGTAAGATCAATGGTGGTAAACAACATTGAAATATATTTATATAGAAAAGTCAATGTATTTAAACTTCAATGATGAGTTCACTCTTTTGATCTTCTTCATATAATTGATATTTCACACTAACAATTATTCGCTGAATGATATGATGACCATATCACTATCTTACAGCTGCTACACATATATTGTTGTTAGTTTATATTTTGTACAAGAAAAAAAAAAAAAAAGAAATAATAAATTATAATTTGATCAGACCATAGAAATTTCTTTTTTCTATTTGCCTACGGCCCAAATACACCTTTTCTTTCTCTCTCTCTCTCTTTTTTCTTCGTCTTCTTCATTGACATATGTTAAACACGATGTTTAATACACTTTGAATGGCAACAGCAGTAGAAGAAGCAAACAAAAGAAGAAATACTGTTGAGTTGTACCATATTGAAATAAAATATGCTAATCAATCATAGTGATGCTGTAGAAAAAGTCAACACGCATATGCACCCCTCCACATACACATCGATCCAACGAGCACATTATTAGGAATAAAAAAGAAAAAGAAAAAACTCAAGTGTGATGATGAAGATGATCATAGGTCGTCATTGTTGTTCTTTTACTTCTGTTTGATGTTGATTGGCATGTTTCTTTTTCTCTTAACACGATAATTATAGAGTATCAGTGAACACGTCAAATATTTATCGATATTTGCTTTTCGAATAGACAAAATGAATAGTGATCTAACTCAACGTTGAGATGACGACGCCTGTTCGCGTGCTCTTCTGATAACAATCGGTCTATATCTGGTGCACGCCTTACTCTATCTCTTTCTCTCATTCTCGCGCGCGCTTCTTGTCGCATATAAAAGTATTAGTTAGAAGGGCGAGTTTAATGATGGATATGTTCAATGAAGAGCGAATCTAGTACGAAAGACGATGAGTTGTGACACGCTCAAGTGATAACAATCATTGTCATTATTTCGTTCTTTTTTTCGACATAAGACAAAAAAAATATGAATATATATGAGAGTCGTTAAAGCGTTTTGATCGATGACTATAATGATAAAAAAGCTTGTTGACAATGTCTGAAACTTTTTTTTTTTTTTCTTTATATAGAAAAATTATTTAATGTAAAGGAATATAAAATATAGGAAGAGCCTTTCGGTTTTTTTTTCTCTTCTCCTAGGCTACTTATCATTACAATCATCGATCAATCGTTTCGATTAATAGCCGGCAGCAATTGAAAAGATTGCATCTCGGTTTTTTCTCTCTCTCTCTCTCTCTCTCTTACTCAGACTTGAATGTCTGTCTGTTTTCTGAAGAAGATGCAGAATAACTAACAACAACAAAAAAGAAAGAAATCAGTCTGTTCCATGTCTCGTCTAGGGAAATCAGCCAATCGACATGGCAAGTGGCCTTCCTTTATTTCTATATACACATGCAAAATAAAACAAAATCCTATTCGTTTTTTCACCTGTCTGTCATTCAAATAAACGAAAGAACAATTGAACTTCTAATCGGATTTAAGTTACCCGTGCATGTCAACAAACATTCGTTATATCTACACAAGTGTATATACGAGAAAGTGTACAGGTAAAAATTATACGCCTTTCTCATATCAAACATAAAGATGATGATGATGATGATTATGTTTTCTCTTTTCTTTATATGAATATGCGTATGCATACATATATATATGTATATATTAAACGACAGGTCTAATCGAGCACGAATCAAGAACGATAGTATGTCGTTAACGATTAATAGCGAATAAGATTTGTATAGAAAATAATCACTTTATACAATGAATGTACAATCAAATAGATGAAGGTTAACTTTTGTCACCTTAAATACAATAACAATATGTTTTTTTCAGATTATCATACAATGAATAAACAAAAGATAAATTACAATTGATAAGAAATTAAAAAAAGAAAAAAAAGAAAGTCAAGTATTATCAAAAGAAGTCAATAAGTTATTAATATTACAATATATTGAATTAATAGAATAGATATGAAGTTCTTTTGTTAAAAGAATTATAATTATTATTACTATTATTCTTTTTTGTTTTGTTGTTGTTTTATAAACAAATCAATGACAACATATTATACATTGAGTTTTTTTTTTTTTTATATGTCATTGTTTTAATAATGTGTCAAGAAGCATTGTTTTATATATTGATTTGTGTTAATATAAAATGATAGTTGATTTTCGTTTTTTCTTACTTTGATCTTAATGTTTAATTACTTACATTATGAATCTTGTAATTTGATGTTTATAAATAAATACTTATACGCATTTTATTAATATGAAATACGACGATTATATTCATAGATTAATTTAAAGACAAATACATTGTCGTTCGTTCTTTTGTTTTTTTTATTCTCGTACGTATTGAATGTTTACATAGATTAACAAAAGAAAAAAAAAAAATGAACATTTGTAAGTGTTGATAATGTTCTTAATACAATATGAAAGTATATTGATTTAAAATTTAAACTCAAGTCATTTTAAAGAGTATGTCTAATGCATGGAAATTATTTTGTGTATATATATATATGTACTTGAAAGAATATCAATACTCTTATTGTTCATCATTGATCAATCAATATAATTAACAGAAAAATTTCAATAGAAATTTATATAAATGAATATGAAAGAATTTCGTTTCTTGATTGAAACGCTTGTTGTACTTGACATTCTCAATTGAAATTGATTCATAATGAATTTAGTTTATCAAAATAACAGGGGCGGATCCAGAAAATCAGTGAGGGGATGGCGATTTGCCCAAGGGGGTGGCGGTCGCCGGTTCGCCGAACAGGTGGATCCGCCACTGCAAAATAAAAAACGATCTGAGACTGAAACTAGTGAGATAAATGATTTCGAATCTACATACATATGTAGAAGTGCTGAAAATTATTTTTTTTTTAAACTTTATATGGGAATGTTATAGAAAACACGGCGACCACTCATTTTGTTTACTAATTCAGATAGTATTGTTAAAATTAAACTCATACAGTGTTGTCAAAGACCTGACAACTAGAAAAAAAGAAAATCAACAATATCTTGTTCTTATAATTTTTGAGCAGTAATAGATAATAGAATGATTTAGTTATCTTAGAAATTAAATGTAAAAATTTGGTTGAGCTTCAAAAATAATTATTTTGAATTTTAGTGATTTGATAGTAATTCATCATAGTCAATAAGAATAAAATATCAATCATTATCATCACATTGATAATTGTTTGCAACTTTTTTTTTGTCATCAAGATTAGAAATGAAACATGTAATTTATTGTTATTCAATCTAATTAAATAGAATCACATACGATTGAAACAATTCTAAATCATTGTATTGAATGATAACCGAACCACTTAATTTAATAAGTAAAACTTGAGTATTTGAATTTGTTTATGGAAAAAAATCAGAACAACTTAATTTGAATATTTGATGATATGTATTTGATTAGATGAGGATGTCTAAAAAACTAATATCTCTCAAACCAGTTTTTTCGTATCCTTATTGAATTTATAGAAGATCCAGTAAGCATTTTTCTTTTTTGTTTTTATGAAAAATTTTAATGATTTCACCGTCTTATACACTTTGTGACTTTCTATAAATTGAATGTAACTCGATAAAGAGAGCCGAGATATATCATTTAACTCTTTCAAATAAAACCATTTCCAAAAAGCTTCAAATGAATCTGGTTTTCAAGGTTTTGGCTTTCCATATATCTTTATCCCAGTAGTTTTATTCGAGTTTTTAGATTGACCAATCCCGAAAGAGAATCCTTTCAGTTACTCAAATGTTTTGCTTTTGTAGATTCTTTTTAGTTATTACCATTGAGAAGAAAACTCGACAATAAAACTGTTCTAAACTTATGCTCGTCACTCTATGTATATTGTTTCAAAGTTCAACATTCTTTATGTTGTTTTGCAAGCAAAATCGTATCAAAATCTTTTTTTTTCATATTTAGTTAATAAAATATAGTTTTATTAAAAGATAATCAGTTATTTAAATCTTTAATTTTAAATGACAAAAAACTTTTATTTTATTTATTTATCTTTAATAATAGAAAAAAAAACCATATTATTTAACTTTATAATTAATATTATCAGTTATTAATAGCTTTGATTGAGTATTATCATTCCATTTATCAGTATCTTCCCATATATAATTTATACTTATAATCATAATAATAAGTGTTAATATGAAATCTAATATTAAAACAAATCGAATAGAAAATATAATAGATCTCAATATTGGTCCACATGTTCTAATTCTATTCCATTGATCTTTTATTATTTCATTTTCTTCAATGGTTTTTTTACATGTAGGAAATAAAATAAAATAATCTCTTTCATTAACTGAATCAAATAAAACGTCTTCTTGAATTCGACAACATTTATAATAATTTATAGTATTTGATAATAAACTTGAATTTCGATCATTATTTATTATATTTACTGTTAATAAATTCATCACACGATAATATACATTAAACATATAAATAATATAAATAATTAACGTAGCAAAAGTTAGTAAAGGTAAGAAAACGATTAGAATATTTTTTAGCTTTTGATAATATCCATGATGATTATATATATAAAGATTTACTATAGAACAAATTATATTAAAAATTAATATCATAATAAAAAGTTTCGACCAAGTTTGAATAATAAAAAATGTCCGTGTCAATAACGATGTTAATATAACGAGATACCATAAGAAAATTCTCATGTATGTTAAAAATTTAATTAATGAAATAATTGACATTTACAAAAACAAAAAAATACGGACGGATTTTTGGATTAAATTCTAAAAATAAAATAAACGAGATTATTGACTTTGTATAGCAACTACAATTCATTTCAAAATATAATATGCTCCAGTGTTTTTTCAATAACTTTTGATAGGAATATCATAGAGATCTGCAGTTTTTATTGCACAACAAAGAAGACACTCAAGATTTATTATCAAAGTATATTACAATCTGATTGGTCAGTAATCAAACTAATACGAAAGATCTTGGTGGAGTTAGTTTGAAAATAATATTCTGAAGCTATTTCTCCCTTTCCATCTACGTAAAACCAACGTTCGAGAGTTACAAGATTTTTCCTGAAACTCTCGATTTTAGTCAATGGTTTTCCATAACGGAAGCTAGACAATGATAATTCATCATGCTGAATCGAATGGTGATGCTTGTCTTTATGCTCGAAATGATTTGACACTGTTATCTCAATATGTCTGGAATTCCACAATCAATCTTTAGGTCAATACGCTGAAATTAGAGGTTTCAGGAAAAGTCTTATAACTCTCAAACTAGAAGCATTGATCTTACGTAGATCAAAAATGGAAATAGCTTCCGAATATCATTCTCAAAAATTTCTACCGAGGTCTAATCTGATTGGTTCACTACTGACCAATCAAATTTGATGAACTTCGATGGTCCTGAGTTTTCTCTCTTGAATGCTGAAAATCACAGGTTGCTATGGTGCTCCTATCAAAAAACAGTTGAACACGTTATATTTTGAAATGGATACTTGTTAATAAAATCAACAGTGTAATAAATTAATATGTTTCTTTTTTTAAATATATTTTTTCAGAAGTAAAAGCTGTATCTTACATAAAAATATATGAAAAAATTTAAACGGCATTTATAGCGATGAATTATTTCTAATAAAGTTAGGTATTAATATCAATAGAAGAAGATGAGAGCATTATTCAACTTACGAATGAGAATATCGTTCAGTTTTCGGATCAAAAACAACGAGAGAAATACTTGAACCTGGACCGATTGTATCTATAAAAATGAATAAAAATTATTTTAATAATAATTCACTAGAAGAAGTATAGAATAGAAGAATGAATTTTAAATTATTCGTGTTTTCATTCCAATAATTTAAAAAAAATATTATTTCGCTTGAGTCGATTGAATTTATTATCAATGTCATCATGCGTATTTATTCTCTTAATAACATAGAATAGATTTTATTAAAATCTTTAATATTCTTATCATTATGTTTACCAAAACAAAAATACATAGCAATTATTATATTGATAATAAATTGATGGAGTATGTTAGAAATTTATAACAAAAAAAAAACAATTATATGTTGATCTAGATTATCAAATTCAAGTAAAGAACTATTTACTTGATTTGCAATTTTGGACGCCGATATTAAAAGTACAACTCTGTGCGTTAAACTATTGACAATAAAATGTGAAAGATACAACGAGAGAAACAGCTGATTTTTGTAGCATGAGAATCACTAGACTCATTGGAATTCGTTGTTTGACCTTTGGTTATATCCTCAGGGGCTAGAAAGTTACCCGTTATTAGATAACGGAGAATTTCTGTGTTTATAAAGTAAAGGTTATTTTTCAAAACTAACAATACTTCATAAAGGTTAATCAAAACTTGTTGATATCAAAGAATCTGTGTTCCTATCTTATTTCTTTAAACAGGTAGATTTCAGCAAGGCTCTTTGGTCAACTATTGTTAGGAGAAAAAATGATGCTTTTCGGACTATATGTAAGAAGACGCCTTCTAATCCTTTGATCAGTCATGATAACACTATGCTTTGTCCTTAGAAATAGTGCAGGAAATTCTTGGTAAAATATGATTGGTTGAGAAAAGTTTTCTCCTAGCCAACCAGACTTCACGGAAGGTTTTTTGTTGCCTACATATCATTCAGCATGAAACTATCTTATAGCAAATCAGGTTTAATCGTATTTTTCTCTGATTTGGCAAAGACGAGATCATGTTGAATCTTGTTGATAGAAAAAAATATTACGCAACAAGGATTCTTCAACTCGAGAAGTTTTCAGTGCAAGACTTTTATAACTGCTAATTTTAATAAAATAGAATTTCTCTTATGGGATAATCAGAGTCGTGAATTTTTTCTTACTGTTTATCTAGTAAAGTAACGGTAAATTTCCACTCCTATTCCGGTGGCTAGAATCATGGAATCAGCTGTTTCCTCTACTGGAAAGATAAAGAATTTTATGACATATGGTATAGTAAAACAAACATAACTATGATAGATTTTTAAAACTAAATTCATTCATAATTAATGAAAAAAAAGTAAAGTTGAGAAATACATTTTTTTTCAAGGAAATCTATCAAACTATTTATAAGAAGTTTTTAATATTAAATGTAAAATGCATGCATTTGTTTTTGTTACAGATGAAATGTATCAAGATTAATATACAATATTTGTGTATTATAGAAGCAATTCGTACACAAAATACTAATAAAATTGTTAGTAAAAATGTCAATCAAAAATATTGATAAACATTTAAAGTATTCAAATCAAAATATTTAGTCAAATCAAAAATCCTTTTTTATGCCGTGATTTTTTTCGTTGTTATTGATGTTTTATTATTTCATAATCTATTTATAATAAAAATAATAAATGAATAACATTATGCATAGATTTATTTATTTCGAATTCTTTTTTTTTCTCTCAGAATAAAATCACTCAACAATGTCAACTTTATTATGAATAGTTTTACCTTTTCAAATAAAAGCTGAAGTCATATTGTTTATCAGATCTATAATATATTTTACGTACCAGCTAAAAATGTCTTAGGTATATCAGGTATCATATCAATCGAAAGTGGAGGTACGCCAGGATGTAAAGCACGTTTTACTGGTCCAAATGTCACTTCCCATGTATCCAAATTACCAATTTTCTGTGGAATATATAGTGGAAAACGACAATAACCAAGAGTTTTTTGAGTAACAACTAAAAAATAGAAAATTAAGCCTTTCAAGAGAAAAACTATGCTTCATACCATCCAATCGTTGATGAACAAGAACAAGCGCTTGAATACGAGTAGGTATATATGATTGACGAGATTGTCGAATTGATACAATTAATTTATCTTCTGGTATATTAACTGTAATTTTCTGCCATTGATGCATTGACTGTGGTTTTTCGTCTGAATAAAAGTTTCAATCAAATTAAAAATAAAACAAAAAAAAAAATAAATTTTCACATACGAATTATAGGTGTTGATTTTGTTGAAATAACATTTAATATTTCTACATCTTCATGTACTTGAATTTCAACTATTAATGATTGATATTTAAATTCCTGTTGAGAATCTCGAGTCTAAATCAATAAAATCTGTATTAATTTAAATGAAATTATTCCTACATACCATTGGCATAATTAAATTTAATGAAATATCTTTTATACCCATTGTTTCTAAATATGTTTTTTGTTTATTTGTAATATATCGAGTATTATTTATTGATTTTGATGGATATGAACGTTGATTCATTTCTGGAATATATTTTGGATTATTATTTTTAATAGCAAGATGAACAAAAGCTGTTCGAATATCTGATGTATATAAAAGACAAGGTTCATCCAAAAAAATTTTTCTCATATCATTATAATCTGTTGCATACATAAAACGATTACGTAATAAATATAATATTGCTTTTGTTGCATGTTTAATATAAATTATATTCCATTTCATCATAAAAAATTGATCCCATAAATAAAGTACAGAATTACAATTAATTATACCAACAAACATCTTATGAAAATTATTAAAAAGAGAAAGATTTATTTTAAAATATAAAACATATGTAAATACTTACTTGACTTATCCATTTTCGAAGAAATATAACTGGATCAGACATTAAATCATTTGTATATTGTATAGGATTACTAGTTGGTGTATTTTCTAATGAAATAATTTCTTTAATGAAATCCTATATGAGAAAAATAAATTTATATGTAATTGAATTTCAAAATAGAAAGAAAAATAATTTCTACTTTAGGATTAATTTTTTTACGTATATTTGATATTGATTTTAAATGTTCATAAAATTCTTGATCATTTATAGATAAATCAACTATTATTTCATTTGCTATTGTAAATATATTTGACCATTGAGGAAAACAATGACGAATAAATAAATTAAAATGCATAGCAATAACATAAAGTTCTTCATCTAGAAAAATAAAATTTAAAAAGAGAAAATTAATTCTTTTAAAAAAACTAAACGAAATACTTTTAATTCCATCATTATTATAAGATAATTGAAATGGTAATAACCAATATATAAAATAAGATTCATAATCTTTTCTATATGTATATAGAACATTTAAAATTTTTATTGTAAATCGTAAATATTGTTCTTCAAGATAAGGATGTAATGCATGAATTTTACTATATGTCTAAATTAAGAAATAATAATATTGTACGATATGTTCGTTCCAACGTGCTATCCAGATTTTCTCTTCCAGAAGGGTCAAATCGATCTTCGAAGGGACGCCACCCTCATAGCAGATAAAACATTGGTGCGTTTGTTTTCGAAGAGGAAAGAAAACCTCATTCAAATAACTTATTAGGAAATATCCTGAAGCGTTCGATCGCTTTTTAATCGAGATTATACTCAGATAACAGACTATGGTGAGTGGCGCGTAAAGCTCAAAGTGGTTCGGTTGTCTAGACCTTTGTTCCTAAGCTATCGAATTTTTACAAGATTATTTAACTGAGATTTGTAGTGTTCCTCACAGATCAGCCCTGAAATTGAATTTCGACTTGAAAACTTGCACTTATAAAACACTCGACAACACTAGTTCACTATGAAATAGAGCCTATCGAGTTAGTCTCGAACCCGATGAGCTTCAGTCGTCTGAGTAATGTGTAGGGTGCGCTAGTCATCGAATACAAAAACTGGACAAAAATATTTCGTATATTCGGGGCGACTATCAGCATCCGACATAGGGGAATTTTTTGTGACCCGACCCGAGCATAGGTCGATCCGATCCGATTCGAGGCCAAAGATAGTTTTTTGTCAATCAAAACGAGTTTTTTCAGCCGTTAACAGTCTTCTCAGTGAATCTATACAAATTCTTTCAATATTCAAAATAAAGAAATTGTTATCTCATCTAAAATCGCTATTTATCTTGTACGAAGTTCGAAATCGGTCAACTTTTTGTGATCTGATCCGAGTTAAAAACTGGCGACTATCATATTCCGATAAAAAAATTTTATAGAAATTATCAAAGTCCGGTTCAACCTGGTTCGAATCAGAAAATTTTAGGCACGACAAGCTCCACTGTGAAAATTCCACTGATTTCAAGGGGGGGAGGGACCGACACTGCAGTACTTCGAAATACCAAAGCCTCGCTTTGTGTCCCTTGAGTGACTCACATCCGAAGATATCAGTATATGAAGAATGATTGCTTTTTCTTTATTAGAAAGCTTTTATCATTCATATCTCAAAGTAGGACATACATCTTAGATTTCGACGCTGCTAACCCAAACCTATCATATGAATACAGTCTCGATCAAGAAGTAATCAAGCACTTGGATATGTTTCCATATTAGTTTTTTTTTTTACTCATTTAAAGTCTTCGAATGAAGACATCTTTAGTAGAACGAGAAAGGTGTAAGATTTGGTTATTTTTGAATTATTGCTCAGTACTCTTTATTTTAACTAGGAGTTCTCTGTTTAAAAAGTAAATTACTTTTTTTCTTGAAAAATTATAATGAATTTTAATGTATAAACTTACTTCAATAACAGCATTTTCAATTAAATTTGTTACTGGTGTGTTTGATGGATTTTTTAAATTAAGCTCGTTTTTTCCTCGTGTTACACCAGCAGCAAAATCTCGTCTTGTTTGAAATTCAACAAAACTCTAAAAAAAAGAAAAGAAAAAATTAAACTTTTTCTCTTCTAAATAAAAGATAAACATACAAGATCATTATCAAGTGGTTCCTTTTCAAATCGAAGTAAACATTCTGTCCAAATAAATTGTCGAATTGTTATAGGTAATTGTTGACCAAATAATTTTTCTTTCACAAATATTACACGACGTAAATCACATTTAAGTAATGCAATAATAGACTTTGATATTATATCACTATATTGAGAGGTCATAGGATGACGAGTCGAAGTCAATTCTAATCAAACAAAAAGATAATTATTCGAAAAGTATTGAAATTTAATCGTTCAGTTAAATGATTTATCAGCAGATCAAAATTTCTTTATACGAATTCCTCAAAAATTTGAAAAGCTATTGCGAAATTTTGTATGAACTTCTCAGTTTTTTTTGTCGTATTCACATCCAGATCTTCTCTTTCAAATTTTTGCTTTTTGAGTTTTCTACGGCATATCTCTTAGTTTATCAGTCAGAAGTTTCTTTTAATTTTGATGATTGAAGCAAACTTGATGGAGAAAAGCAATGAAAATTAAATCTTTTACTTAAGAACTACGAACCATTAATTATTGGTGACTTTTTTGAATTCGTCTGTGAATCTCGAAGAATCGAACGAAATTTTGAATGACCAATGAATTCATTTTGATATTTTATCTTATTTATTTCTTGTAATTTTTCTTCTTCTTGTTTCATAATTTCTTCTTTTTGTTGTATTTGATATAAATAACGTTCAAATGATTTACATACTATTTCATATGTATATTCAAGAAAATTTTTCATATCATTTGATAATCGATTCGCACTAAAAGATTAAATATATAGTTCCGAACGAACATAGTTGCCGTCTATGAAGTGCTACTATTAAGCTGATATTTTGAATACATGCGTACAACAATAAGCTCTTATTCAAAAGATCACTATTGTAGTCATCTCTAGCATGAATTTTATTAGATATCACTTTGGAATAATTAGCATATTGTCGTCTCGTTAAGAATATCTGTTGACAAGTAATCTTGGACTTGTAGTAAAATGAATCTTTTCCGTAATAACTTTGATGAATTATTCTTTCGAAAATTTTAATAGAAATTTCTCATAAGACAACAGGACTGTTTTGAAAGTTTCAAAACTGCATGAATAAACAAAAGCGATTTCCGCTGAATATGTGTTTTTTACACGGGAAAGATATGTGAATTGTAACTCCTATACATGTGAATTAATAGAGAGAGACTTGATATTTGTGAATACGACTTATTGTCTCACACATATACTCAGAATATCAGCTGAATAGTAGTACTTCGCGAAGGACAACTACTGTTTCTATCGTTTTAGTTTCTTTTTAATATTTACTCTTGATCTTCTGTTACCGCTAAATAAAATTAAAAAAGAAAATCAGAAATATGTATACTCAGAAAAATAAAATATAAATTGATATGTACTTGCTCCTATTTCTATTGCTGCTTTAAAAGCTTGTATTTGTAGCCATGATTTTGCTTCATTTTCAAGTTTACGTCGATGTTCTTCAAGCATATAAGGTGGAGTCTATAGAAAAAAAACACAAAGATTAATCTCTATTAATAATAAATCTATAGTAGGAAAAAAAAAAAAGAAACACTAACTAATATGCAAGGAATATCAGGTTCCAATTGAAAAAATTTCCATTGAAATTGTAAACCAAGTAATTCAATAAGTATTTGACGACGATGAAGATTATTAAATTGTTCGCGTGCTCTATTCGCTAAAATTGGTTCGAGGTCATTGAGAATCTAATGAAGTATATGTCAAAATAAAGTAATTTTTCTTTATTTTGTTTAAATAACCTTTTGCCATGGACTATCAGGTAAACATGTTTGTTGATAACTTGAATCAAGCCATTGAATATTAAATGGTAAATATTTTAAATTATTTGGTTTTTTATTATTCTCATTGTTAGTAGGATTAATATTAATCATTATATTAGTTAGTTTTTATTTAAATTTGATGAAAAACAATATTTATATATCATATCAATATATTCATTTTCATGAATAACACTATTACTATGTGTTCGACATCGTGATACACAAATATCGAATGATGTAGAGAAATGTGAAAGAAGTAAACTTGTTTTTAAATCTCGAGAACGAATATAATTTTGAAGATAAGTACGCTAAGAAGAAGAAAACAAAAAAAAAATAATCAATTAATTTAGATTATAAAAAAAAAAAAAAAGAAATTCTTACATGATCAGGGTTAAGACAACAAGATATACAATGTTCAAATGAACTACAACAATGAGTTGTTGATGAACAACTATCACAAATATATGGACCACGAATAGATGAAGATTTTATTTGACAACAACCATTTGTCTTTTCTAAATGACGACGTTCACAAAGATAACCTAAATACAAAACAAAAGAAAACTCTATGGTTATATAATTATTAAGAGTTATTTAAGATTCAAGAAAAAGAAAACTGTTTTCTCTCTTTTCTCTTATGGAAAACTTTGCATATTTGAACAATATGTTAAGTGTGAGACTTCTATTGGTGATTTTCTCAGCCAACAATATTATTTCCAATTTAATATTGAAACTAATTTATACCTTTACTATCAACAACAAAGGATTGTTTTCCTTGAGTAAAATGTTGACATTTAGTTAATAAATTATTATCGAATAGAATAGCTTCTTCTAAATCGTTTAAATTTGTTTTTGGTGTTGGATGAATAAAATGATTAATAATTAATTTCTAAATAAATCAATTAGGAAAAAAATTTTTTTTTTTTTTTAATAAATCATAAAACAAAATATTTCTCATACATATCTTTGCCACCAATGCCAAGAATAAAATCCAATAAGTATACATATCAAACAAATAATTAATAGAACACTTTGTTTAAAATGAATTCTCATTGAAGAAAAAAAAATTTTTTTTTTTTCTAAAGTTAAATAGATATATTATCGTTTCTTTGAGATATATTGCATTGTTTAATTTTTGGTTTTATTTATATAATGATGATCATAAAAGAATAAATATATATATGTATATATTATAGAGCACAGCGAGAAGACAAAATGAAAAGATGGTTTTTTTTTTTCTATACACATAAACATATGCGCCAAAAAAACGAGTGACAAAGAGAGTGAGAGACATTTATGGAATTACCAAAAAAAAAAAAAACAAACGTAAGGATATGGAATGGTAAGAACGCTCACAAGAGAAGAATGGGTTATAGGATTGAAAAGTCACCGGAAAATGAACATTTTCTATAAATTAAAGTAATTCGTCGACAATAGCATCATTAAAAGATAAATTTGCATATGCATGTTGTTGTGAATCATGTCCGGTGTTCTGTGAAGATTTTTTTTTTCTATGACGTTTTCGTGTTGATGATGTTGTTAATTCTTCACTTGATGAATGTCCATCATTATTAATATGTTCTGACTGAAAATAATATTGATTATTTGTTGTATTTGTTGTTTTAAATGTACTAAAATTTGTTGCTAAACCAGCTGAACCAACAAGACGACGTGTTGGTGATAATTGTGATTGTTCTTTTGATGTTGAATCGACTATTGTTTGTGATGGAACAGTAAAATCAATTAATTGAGAATTTGATGATGATGTTGATTGTGATGATGATGGTGATATTGTATTATTTTTATTTGTTGTCATTGGATTTTGTTGTTTAGTTGTTATTTTTGCTTTAAATGGTGCATTTGTAAAAACATCTTTTGATATTGCTAATTGATTATTTGGATTCGTTGTTGTTGTTGTTGTTGTAATAGTAGTAATTGTTGTATTACCTGGTGGATAAGATTCTGAATGTGGAATTTTTTGTTTTGATAGATTGAAATTGTATGTTGATGATGTTGAATCAGTTACTAAAGAAGAATAAAATAAAAAATGTTTATATAAATACTAAATAAAAGTTTTGTTTCATTAGTAATCTCTCTTATTCGTGTTTCTTTTTCTTACACAATGGCGTATTTTTTTTTCTCTCGCTCTCTGTTATACTTATGAATCATCAACATAAAAAAAGTCGATGTCTTTACTCATGTTAATATCAAATATTTATTATTTTATATCATTCCAATCAAATACAAAGTTTGAGTCACGTAAAACCCTTGACATACTTAGGTAAATGAGTGCTGAAGTATTTCTTTTTATATACATTACAATTTATTCTGTTCATTATAATAATGAAAAGAAAACGTTTTTTCATTTATAATAAAAGAAATTTTATAATGATTTACATTCTAATCCTCTTCTGTTTCTATTGAAAATTTATTTCCGTCACATCAATTTATAATAAAATAGAATACATAAATGACATGAAACATAAGAATATTCAGCAGGAGAAATGAAATAAAATATTTATGTTATGAACAAAACAAAACAAAAAACTTACGAGAAAAATATTTGAATTGTTTTATCGACTTTGGACTCATAATATAACTAAATAAGTACATCTTAATGTGACTAATTAAACTCTAAAAGAATACATGATAATAGGCCTGTAATTAAAAGTTACAAATATTTTACATAGTTTTCCACTGTAAATGAAACATCTCCAAATGACAAATTTCTTTCAAGCTAAAACTATATTCAATGTCGATAGAGTCTAGTGAGTAGGTAAATGCTTTAGAGCGGTTCTAGTTGCTGAGCATTTATTACTAAGATTGCGGATGTTTAATGGATTTTTCCTGTACGACCTTGGTTTTCAAGCGAAATTATACTTTTAAATTTTGACCTGAAACTTTATTCATATAAAGCAACGTTTAGATTAGTTTGCAGTAAAAAACTTCTAGAATATTTTCTACAAACTATTCTAAGTGTTGCCTTCATGTGGACAAAATTTCAGATCAAAATTCAAAAATATAAATTCGTCAGAAAACTAGAAAAATTCGATATCTTAGTAACAAACGTCCAATAGTTCGAATTACTGAAAGGTATTTACTTACTCCTTAGACCCTATCAATTGAATATAGTTCTAGTTTAGAAGTGATTTATCCATTGAGCACCTTCCTCATTAGGCAGGTATCTATAGAAAAAACAAAATGAATGTCTTTCGATCTGAAATTCTGTTCATAACACGCTCCCTCTCCTGCCCTCACGGTAATAGATTAGTTCATTGTTTCTCACTACTCAACTATAGCTCTGTTCATATACTTAATTTCTTTTGTATTGAATATGTATTCTATCCATGAACAAATTAATTACTTTCGGGATCTGAAAAATGCATATGAACACCTATCACTTGTAGATAACTGTCGAAACACTATGGAATAGGAATTAGACATACAACCATATCATTCTGTTGGATTTCTCATTATGGATTTATGTAGAGGGGGTATAAGCGAGACTTAAGTACTTAAGTATCATTTATACGCTCTTTTGTTGATGCACAATTCAGAAACAAAAAACATATTAAGTTGACAGAAGAAATATGGGGAAAATCCTTGGCTGAAAAATGGAACATTTTACAAAGATGAATGTTTACTGAACTCAATAATAAAAACTCATGTGAGATGTTGCAATATCGATTTTTATAATCTGAATTATCTATCTCTTAGAAATAATAGACTCTTATTTCATATTCCGAGGCTTACTTTATATTTTCTTAACATGAGATAACTCTGAAGGTCTAAGAAGATAAATAGCTGGTCTGAATGTTATTTACAGTAAAATTGCACATTGTGTACATAGAGGTAAAGCTCGATAAAAATAGCAATGACAATAAACAAGTTATGAAAAGTGTAATAAGCGTGACAATAACGAAACGAAAAATTTATATGACAGAAAAGGAAAAGAAAAGCAATCATACTCTGTGCGAGTTAGATTCAATGAGATAGAAACATCAGGGAGTGAGTCTTAATCATCACGTGACAATTTTGTATCAAGATATTTAAAATATGTCTCTTTTCGTTTCAAAAAAAACAAAACAAAACTAGTTGCAATAAAAAGATCATTTTGAAACTATTGATTTGTAAAATAAATTAGAAATTCAATGGACTTTTCTTCTATGGAATGTTTAGTGTATGTAGCAAAGTTTTCACCTAAAACATATGTATTTCTTCTCGAAATATTGAAGTTTTCGAATAACTCTATTATGTTATAAAACGATATTTTCTTTTTTAAATACAATATCTCAAGAAACAAACATTTTCATACATACTAAAAATTATTAGACATATTTATGAACAGAGAATATCAGATCGAAATATATTCATGTATGTTTTCTGTAGATACCGAGTCTTTAAGCCAAAAATTCAGTGATATAATTATAACTTTTAATACATAAAGAATGACCTTAACTTTCTAAGTCGTGTCGAACTTTATTTTATATGAAAAATATCCACTCGAAAGTGATGAGTCAACTAGCGTATCATCGTTATTAGTTGCTTTTTCTTTGATTCTCAGACTTCAATCATACATGAAAATTTCCCAAACGAATATTTACGATTAATATTTTAATGACAAATAAATACTATAAAGTAATAATATTTATTATTGTCTAGATATGTACAAATTTAGCTTGATCACAGACACGACTGTAACGTATCATACAATGTTATTCATTCAACTGTATCCAATTAATTACTATCGATTGAAAGAAAAACATATTTTTATTTTTTCTTTGTTATGACGCGAGCTTCATTTATTATATCAATACTTGTTGTTCAGGGAGATATTTAAAGACAATAAACCTTTCTTCTAGATATATTCAATTATATTTTTCTTTTCATTAGATAACTATAAAAAAAAAAAAAAAACGTGAAATTTACCATTCGTAATAGAATTTGGTTCTTGTCTATGATAAGGAGCAAATGCACTAAGTCTTTTTCCAACAACAATACTAGTTGGATCAAATGAAGTAATATTTGAAGTCGTCATTGTATCAACATGAGTAGATAAAGATGATGATTGTGTTACTGGTTTATGTGTTGGTGAACGATGAGAATAATGAAAAGGTGCATGAAGAAATGGATTGTCATTATCAATAAAAGAAGAATTTGTTTGATTATTATGCTCATTCATAGTACGTTTTGAATCATTAGATGGGTTTGTTTTGGAATTTGTTGTAAAGAGATTAAATAATTTTGTATGGGAATCTAAATAAATAAATAAATTAGAAATATCAATTAAATCTAATATAAAGGAGAAGAAAAAAAAAAAAAAGAAAAAGAACTTAAAAGCCAAGGGTGTAAGAATCAAGAGAATATTAAATAGTGGCGAAAAGGTTTACTTTTGAGTTTCTTATCCTTCTTTTTCTTTTTCTTAGAACCAAGTTATATTTTCTATAAAATTTGTTTATAAATTATTAAAATGAATTTTCTTTTATTGTTATAACTTACGAGAAGAAGTTTTTGTCATAGAATTATTTGTTTCATTATCATCATCATCAGAATCTTGAAAATGTTCATATTGTTGTTCTTTATGACGTGTTGTCATAAAACGACTACTTCCAACATTGTTTTTATTTGTATTTATTGTTTGAATAGGTCCATCATCATCAGAATCTTCATTAATAAGTTGATCAAATCCAACATTATTATTAGCATTATTCTTGTCATTATCTTTTTCATTGTCATCATCATTATCGGAGTCACTTTCATTATCTGATTCATCATTCATAGAAATAGGATGTTCATTGGCAAGTGTAATAGAATCTTTACGTTTATAAGGTGTTGAAGATGCGGTAGGTTCGTCTTGTTGTTGGAGAGAACAACGTCCAATTAAACGTTTAACAAGATTTTTATTTGTTGTACTAGGAGATGATATACTTTTTTCGACCTCTTCCGTTGATGGATGATGTCCTGATCGTAATGGTGTTATTGCTATTTGAGATTTTTTCTTGTTTTTCTGAAATACAAAAAAAAAATATTGATATCTTTAATATATTAATTGAAAGATGTAAAAAGTTTTTTCTTGAAGAATTTTCAAGTGAAACAAATAGTTTTCTTTCGTTTGTGGAAATTTTCTTGATCTAATGATATATTCAAATAACATACCTTGTTTAGTTTTTCATTATTTTCATCATCATGTGATAATGATGAAGATGATTGTTCATCATCAGATTTTAATTGTGAATTAATAGTATATGTTTTAGCAAATAAACGATCGTCTTCATTTAAAATAAGACTTTCTCGTGATTTAACATTTTCTGTTGAATGATTATGAACTTTTAATTTATTTAAATTTGTTGCTAATGCATCATCATCATCATCAGATGCTTCACCTATAAAAAGTACCGGCTGTTGTTGTGGTTGTTGTTTGACTGATGAATCTATTGAATGTCGACGATCGAAGGATAAATTGGATTCAACGGAGGAGGCGTGTAGAAAAGAAGATGGATTATTTGTTGGACTTATTGTTTGAGATGCACTACGTCGATGTTGATGATGCATTGTAGATGAACTGGTTAATTGTGTATTACTTGACGAAGACGTAGGAGGTGGAGGAGGAAATAATTGTTGTTGAAAAGTAAGGCCAGATGATGAAGATAATGATGCTGGTGGTGATGGGCGTGCACGAGACACATTTCTTTCAAGTGTTGATGTTGTTTTTGGTGTTGTTGTCATATTTGGAATATTAGTTAAACTAAGCGTATGACTTGGAAATTGTGAGAAATCATCGTCAAACATTAATTGAGCGGCTGAACCTGATCGTTGATGAGAAGGTCGAACTGGAGTAGATACAAGTGGAGAAGCGGAAAGTGGAACTGGAGCTGGTGGAGGTGGTGGTGGTGGTGGAACAACAACAGTTGTTGGTCTTTGTGCTGTTTGATTAAAATTAATCAAAGAACCAGATGGTGCTATAATACCACGAGGACGTTCACGCGGATTAACTGCTGTTCCAAGAGTAGATGTTTCATCGGATGTATTTATTGCTGTAGATTTAGCACTTGCCGAAGCCATTAACCGTTGATGACGAGATTCACTTTCTGTTAATGGCATTGGTACTATATTGAAATCGGGAATTTTCGATTGATATCGATTTGGAATTGGGCATTCGATACCAAGTAATTTATATGTTATATAAGACACCTCAAATGATGAAAAAAAGCACATTTACAAATGTTTGACAATTATGAGAATGTAAAAGTAATAAGATGTGTCAAGTCTAGAAGATATTCTAGAGTGGGACCGGAACTACGAGAAAAAAAATTGTGCCAACCGGTGCTAAAGATGCTAGTTAAATATTCTATGGTGTCAAGTAAATTATCTGATAAATTATATCAATCAGAACATAATTAAAGAGAGATGACTCAAAAGAGTACTAGTCATCGACTACATAAATCAAAAAAGAAATGATTATGAAAAAAAGTTTTCTAGATGTGACATGAATAAATTCAAGAATAGTTTTCTCTAGATCAAAATCGGTGCTATTATAGAAAAGAAACTACCAAAAGATTATGACAGCTATGAAAAAACAACTTGATTTTGCTTATCTCGAATCTATTCTTAAGAAGCATCTAAAATAAGAAATTAATTTATACCTGCCAAATATCTGGTCGTTTGTTAATATCTATTTCTAACATAAAACGAACGAGTTTATTCAAATCTCGACTATAAACTTGTGACATATCATCTGGTATAACAAATGTTCCATTTTGTATGGCTAAAATGCTATCACCAAACGGCATTGTATTAAACATAAGTTTATATAAAAGACATCCCATTGCCCATATATCAACTTTTAATGTTATTGGTAAACGACTATATAAATCGATCATTTCCGGTGCACGATAAGATAATGTTGTATAACGTTGAATTTCTTCTTCAAGTTGTTGTATAATAGTTGTTGTTAATTGATTTGATTGATATTGTTGATGATTATTTGTTGTTGAAGGTGGAAGCATTACAGCAGAACCAAAATCACATAAAACAAACGATTGATGAGAATCAATAAGAATATTTTCCAATTTAATATCACGATGTAATATTGGTTGAGGACGACGATAATGACATGCACTTACAGCATTACAAATATCGGCAAATATACGTAAAATTTGACGTTCATTTAATGGTATACCATTAGTACGTTGTTCATTTAGACGAGTCTATAAAGAGTAAATAGGAATTCAACATTAAGCAAGATTACTCAACAGAAGAAAAAGAATAGAATTTTCTTAATTTATGGACTATGGGTAGGGCTGTTCGATTTATAAATTTCAATTTCTAGTCAAGTTTACAAACAAAACTATTAAATCATCTATATAGAAAACAATTGTTTTTTGGATTTTTTGACAAGTTCATAATTTTCTATAGATCGTATTCTTGAAAGATCTAATGATTTTATTTTGAATATTTACTAATAAAAACTTCGAGACGAAATTATTTAAGTCTAATTAACATTCTTAATCGATTATTTATGTTTGAATCTAGTATATTTTTTCTAACATTAAATAAATGGTAATCGATGCATGATTTAACAAATTCTTTTGTTAGATTAAGTAAAAAATTCTTAGTATTAGTATATGCAAAATGATTTAAAATTCTTGAATTAACAATTATTCACTCTCTTTTCTTTGTTTTTCCCTAGGAAGTATATTTATTGTGTATACGAGGGTTTTAATAATTGCAAGTTGAATCTGAATAGAATTGAAAAACTGATCAGATGAACTATGAACTATTCTAGAGGGAATTCAACCCACACTCTCAACTGTATATATAGGAAAATTATCATTTCTCTAAATCAATTATGATTCCTTCCTCTTCAAAGAAAATAACATTAATTTTCATCAGAAAAATTGAAATTGAGATAATCATCTGAACTCTAAATAACATTATTTTTTATGTGGCATCTTGTCTTTGTTTTTGTGTTAAAATTTTTGATAATTTTCATCACTTTCTTCTTGAAAAATATACTTTTTTTTGGAAAATTAGTTATTCTATTTTGATCACACATCTTAGAATTCTCGAAGGAATTTTACTGTATTCAATTTCTTGATTTTTCTGCTTGCAAGAGCATATCAAACTGCAGTGCAATCTGACATGTTCTTTCAAATTAAAAAGAAAAAATAGTTAAATCTATAGAATAAGAGTTCACAAAGAACAAATACTCTATTTTTTGACCCTTGTTTATTGAATATCTCCCGAAAACATCATGGTAGAGACCGACATCATTGCGGTCTATGTTTTGAAATCAGCAAAATAAGCAAGAACTTATTCTCCAATGCCAACTCTTAAAAATTTATTAACAAAACAAAATAGCATATAATATATCAAATTTAACTGTCGATATCTCTTAATGTTTACATCGCTATGAATCAAACTTTAAAGAAGAAATTCCATAAAATTCTATTGAATTTGATTTATTTTATTCAATAAATCTTGTTTCTTTTATTTTGAAAACTGAAAAATAGTTTTTTCACTGATGTTTCATCGTACTTCACACTACTAAAATTTTACTTTTTCCTCGTTATATATATATCTCTTTAAACTTTACATATGTGTAAATCTTTTCAAGACATTTTTCATAATTACAATATAGCTTGTAGAAATTGATTTAATTAATGACAACGTACGTTACAACCATTGTATTAGAAGAAAGCTTAAAACTTAAGGCAGTATAAAGAAATAAAATTAAAGAATACGACAATTCTTAAAATTGCACTTAATCCTTCGCCTTTCACAGTGGTTCCAGAAGAGTCACTGATAAAACAACTTTATAAATAGAGTATTAGCCTATCTAATATGCTAACGATGTAGTCTGATCTATCGAGTGTCCATATCCTCACATAGAACCATTTGATTCGCTTAATGACCGTGCGGTTAAGCAAGGGGATTTAACGATATATTAAGCCTTGACTTTTTTTCTCGTTAATCACATTATTGAATAGGCAAAAGCAACATTAATCCCATGTTATTTTTGTAATAGAAAAAAGGAAGGAGTGAACCGATAGAAATTAATGTCAAAAGAACAGATGCATTTTTGACATGTCGTGTTAAATAAACATCTACGTCGCTTTGAGCCATTTAATACATAATAAATACTATTTCAACCTCTCATGAGTTGAGGGTTATAAGTATATATATATAGTTATTAACTTTGTTCTTGATTGCTCAATAATGGGTTCATGGTCAATCGAATGCCTTAGTGTGTGTAATTTACTGAGCTATCGTAAAGCTTTTGAAATGGGCTTCTTCATTGATTTATATCACATAGAAATTCTGAAAGATCTCTACTGAGTATAAGTAGACAGCATGCCATTTCGAAAAGTTCATTTTTTTTTCAAAAGTATCAATTTTATAGATTCGATATTTCAAAGGCGGATCAATGAAAAAAAAACAAACTCTTTTTACTAGTTAATAACGCATGAAATTCAACACAAACAATGCTCTTATTGTTTTCAATTCTCAAATTAGCAGCCTTGAAACTTCAATGATTTTAACAGTACTTAAAACTGATTATGAAATAATAAATTAATGTCGGATTTTTTTTAAAGTGTTAACGACCATTTTCTGAATAACTTTTGATTACTTTGAGTTATCGAGCTGCGGTTTTCACCATTCAAAAGAGCAAGCCGGGGGCTACAAAATCCTACTGATTTTGAATGGTCAAGCAATTGACCAACCAGGAGAACTTTTGCTGGACAGTTTGTGAGCTGCCTCGTGCTACTAATTTTCGTTCAATTTGAACTTTCAATGATATTAATCGATAGAGAAAATTGTTCTCTTTCGATCTACGCAAGGCCGAGCTCACGATGTCATTTTGTTCTGGAGTTATAAGCATTTTCCCAAGAGCTCCGAAATCAGCCAAATGATCTTCCATTAGGCTAAAATGGTTCTATATAGGGGTAACTTGCCACGCTGAGTCGAATGGTGATATTTGTTTTCCGTTTCATAGCTTTCTGAAGTTACTATATCAACATTCTCGAAAAAACCTCTTTACACGCTATACATCAGCAAATTGCTGAAATTTCGAGAATATTGATATGGTAACTTCAGAAAGCTATGAAACGGAAAACAAATATCACCATTCGACTCAGCGTGGCAAGTTACCCCTATATAGAACCATTTTAGCCTAATGGAAGATCATTTGGCTGATTTCGGAGCTCTTGGGAAAATGCTTATAACTCCAGAACAAAATGACATCGTGAGCTCGGCCTTGCGTAGATCGAAAGAGAACAATTTTCTCTATCGATTAATATCATTGAAAGTTCAAATTGAACGAAAATTAGTAGCACGAGGCAGCTCACAAACTGTCCAGCAAAAGTTCTCCTGGTTGGTCAATTGCTTGACCATTCAAAATCAGTAGGATTTTGTAGCCCCCGGCTTGCTCTTTTGAATGGTGAAAACCGCAGCTCGATAACTCAAAGTAATCAAAAGTTATTCAGAAAATGGTCGTTAACACTTTAAAAAAAATCCGACATTAGTAAAACAAATATAATATAAACATTTTAGTTTTCTTTCTTAATAGAAAATTTTCTACAATTATTTTAATTAGAATCCTTGAAAATACATTAAATGTAATACAAAACGCATTATAATCACATAGCCATAGTTCTATGGCAACATATCAGAACAAAATCAGTAAAGTAATGTCGCTGTAAGGTCTGCATAGGACTGAAAGTTTCAGATGATTCGAATGTTCCTGATCCGAGATCGTTTTTTTTTTTTATTCAATAGTTCTAAACTCTAAAGAAATCTTTTTTTGTTTTTATAACTTACAATTAATGCTCCATTTGAACAGTATTCAGTTAATAAAAGTATTTCATAAATAGAATCTTGTTCATTATCATCATCATCATCTTCATCATCATCATCATTAGATAAATGTTTTCGTTGTATATTTGATTGTGATGGTGGTGATAAACGTTGTATAGATGAATCAACATATTTAACAATATTTGTATGTGATGAAAATTCTTTTAATATAGATATTTCACGTTGACATACAATTAAATCTCGTTCATTATTAACATACATTCGTTTAAGTGCATAACGTTGTTGATTTAATGATCGAACAAGAAAAACAAATGCAAAACCACCTTGTCCAAGAATATCTTCAACAATAACTTGATATTGATTTATAGTTAAGACTTTTCCTATATAAGACATTATATCAACATTTGTATTTGTTAAATTTATTGTTGATATTTGATTTACATTATTATTATTATTTAAAATTGGATGATTTGATGATTGATTATAATTTGAACGGGTCGGCATGATGGTTATTTTTTAAAATTTTATTTCTATCTTGTTGTAAATGTATTGTTGATTAAATTAAAACAAAATGATAAAGAGAAACAGAAGTTATTTTTAATCAACGAGCGGGCAGTGCTAAGATGAGCACGCTCGCACGGTTTTTACATCTAGAACAAAAAATGATTATTTGTTTGTGTGGTTTTTTTTGTTTTGGCTATTTTTTTTTTTTCTATACATTACTAATAAAGCAGAGAGAAAGAAAAAGAAAATTTTAATAACAAACAGAAAAGAAAATGAAAACGACTGTTAAATATACTAAATGAAAAATATTCATTCATTAGATGCTGTTCTTCCTTTTATTAATTTGTTTATGTAATCAAGATAATTTATCACTTGTTTGTATTTGATCGTCAGCTATTTTTAAATCACTATTTATTTGATCAGCTATAATGGATTCTTCAACTAATTTACGAACTTTTGATTCATACAAACGACGATTTTCGACAAATAATTTTGCTGCTTCATTATTAGCTGGTGAATTTGGATTTGGATCATTTAATAACGAACGAATCGATGTTAATACAGCACATACATCATAAGTTGGACTCCAATTTCGTTGTAAAATATCCAAACATATACTACCATCAGCATAAACTAAATATTTTATAGATAGTATAATGAGAAATATTTAATTACAAAAGTACGTCACATACCATTTGGATGAAACATTTTACATGTAAATCGAACATTAGGTGGTGTTAATGGATAAGTATCTATAATAAATTTGTTATGTCAAAAAATTTTTCTTTACTCTTCTTATAAAATACCTGCAAATTCCATTCTTAATGTAAACAATCCATCTTCATAACATGTATCAGCTGGTCCATCAATCAACGCATTCCAAATATGCATGTTATTATCAATAGGTGTGGCATTAATACCTAGATAAAAATAATAATAATAATTATACATTAGTTTTTATTTAATTATTTAATATGATGAATGAACGAACCTGGTAATTCTTCGGAACGAATTTTTTGTAAATCTTTATATAAACGTCTTTGACTGGTACTTGAATTCGACATAATAAACGTTCGTACTTTTGTATCTAATCTAATTGAATATTAATACATCGATTTTGTTTTGTCTTTATATATTTTTTTTTCTTATCGTAAATTACGAAATCTAGAAAAATCTAACTGTGTATGATTTGTGTAGGCGAAAGAAAAGAAGAAGAAAAATAGTTCTAGTTGTAGGAAAAAAAACATGGACCTATCTACAACCAGCTGACAAATGTCATTAGAACAATAAACGAATATAAGATGATATAACCAAAGAGAGTTATGAAAAAAAAATAACAAAAAAAAAAAGAATTTATAGTTCAGAAGAAAATTTTTCTGTTATGCTAAAGAATGTTGTTTATAAATTAAATGATAGAGATCGCCACGTATCTAGGTAAAAAAATGAATGGAGAACATGAATCAAGCAATGAAATATGTGTGCAAATAAGCAAGTAAACAAGGAAGAGAATATGATTAGATTTTTGTTTTTATAGATGTCATTTTAAAATCTTGATCAATATTAAAGAATTAGGAGCGGCAAAATTCAATATGAAATAAATGTTGTTTGATGAATATTTTGAAATAAAATAATTATGAATATTTATTATTATGAAAGCCAAAAGAAAAAAAAAATTATTTTTCAAATGTTTTTTTTAATTTTAGAATAAACTCCTTATGTTCAAATATTTAATGGCTATATTGATAATTAGGTGCTTGTTCACTTTAAACACACTCTGCACTAGAGAGCTGCGGGTCCTTCCAGATCCGGACCCGGGCTCGGGTCCGGGTCTGAAAATTTAGGTTTTTCCGGGTCCGGGTCTATACCTAAGAGGAAATTCAGACCCGGTCTGCATTAAGTTACGAATAAAAATATATATATCAATAACAATTGAAGTCAACAAAATTGAAAGAGAAACAGTCAGAAATAATTCTACACTCATTTTATCTTTAAAATGGCCAATGAAGAGCTAAAATTGTGTTCCCTTTTCTGTTCATGTACACAGAGGGTGCCAAATATTGGTGAAAANTCTATCCTAAAAAATATTGTATGGATTTTTTTCAACGAGCAAAACTTCAGGTCATTTTAAGTTACTGTACGCGTCCAACGTCTTCGGAAGGGAGGCATTTAAGAATTTCAAGTCTATGAAAAAACTTTCATTAGATCTATTGATTGTGAATGTTTCAAAATCTTCGTCTAGCTATTCTCGAGAAAAAGCAGTGTTTTATTCATTGTGAAGAGCGAAGGATGGCGCTTTCGAATTTTTAAATTGTCCTTCTGGAAGATAATTTTTACTGTACTAATAATACTCTATAGTTATCGCTTGCTTCTTATTTACCTTGTTTAAGTTGTTCTATTTCATTTTCATAATTATTAGATTTTTGTGCAAATTCCTAAAGAATAAATCAATAATTTTTTTTAGAAAAAAATCTTCAATTGAATTATACCTGTTTAACTTTTTCAAGTTCATCAATTGCTTTTTGTTCATTAACATTCAATTGATTAGCATTATCAATACCTGATTGAATTAATGTTTGTTTTACTAAAAGAAAAATTGGTTCATTTTCAGTCAATAAAAAAGAATGATTTTAATTCATACATTCTAATTCATTATTAGCTGCATCAAGTTTAACTTTAAGCATTTTTAATTCTTTTTCATAATCACCAAGTTGTTGTTCAAAATCTTTTAAGAATAAAAACGAATATTAATATAAAAATATTTATTTCAACAAACCAGTCTTTTGATTTGTATTCGTATTTAATTTTGTTTCGATTTCATTAAGCTAAATACAAATAAAATAAAATAAAATAAAATAAAGATTTTTTTAAAATTACTTGTCGTTGTAATTGTTCGGCTTTTTCTTTTTCTGTTATAAATTTTGTTCGTATTTCAGTATGATTTAATTTTTCTTGTTGTAAATTTTGTGTTATTTCATCTAAACGTGATTGGTATGTACGTTCATTTAATTCTTTTTCACGTTCATATTGTTCTATTCTTTGACATAGTTCATCATTTTGTGCTGTTAAATCATTTATTTTAGCTTGAAACATAGCTTTTGTTTTTTCTTTTGTATATTCAGCTAAATTCTATAGAAATAAATTTAGAATTTAAATAAAAATTTAATTATTTAAGTTACTTGAAGTTTTTCAATAATTGGTTGAATTTGTTCATTTTTAACTATTTCATTCTTTAATAACATACATTCATTTTCAATTTGTTCATGTTTTATTGAATCAAATTTACGTTCGTTTCCTAATGTATTTAAACGACATTCTAATGAAGCTTTATCATCTTTTAATTGACGTAATTCCTATATGAAAAAGATCGATCATATTAAATTTAGTTAGAAGAAAGTTTCAGAGAATTATAATTGATTAGAAAAATTATGACATAGTTGGTAAAAGATAATAATTTAATTCTATTCTTCAATGTATGATGATGATGATTGGCATGATTTGAATATTTTTATATTAAGAAAAGTTAGAAATATCAAAAAAAAAAGATCGTTATTATAGATTATAACAATATTATTACTATATGAATTTTTTTTCTCGAAAGCATCGGATTTATACGAAAATCTTTAGGTATTATTCAAATAGTTTGGAATAATGTAAGAATCATTATCTAGATAGGTAAGTATAAATTCAAATGAAACTTTTCTATTTCTTGTTCTTTCTTAATCTTATCAAATTGATTTGTAGATAAAAGATGAGATATGATAAGTGTCGGTTCTTTTTTCACTTTTGGAAAATGATAAGAAAACTCTTGTTATATGTTATGTTCATTTTAAAAAGTTTTCTGATCTTTTTGGCAGACACATCCCAAGGCTTTGATTTTTGTTTTTTTTTTAAAACGGAAATCGACCCTCTTCGGAAAGAAATCATCATAATGGAAAGCTGTCAAAAAAATTATTCGATTCATATCTCCTTCTGAAATACATTTCTCATTTTCAGATGATCCTGTAATCACATCTTGTATGAAGTCGTTATGATTGAGTAGTTACATTGTCCGACCCATACTTCCTAAAGTACTGGGTTCGAATGTTGGCATTATAAACTATAAAATGACTATGTAAGCTATGAACTATTGTTTGTCTTGGATTATCCGTCCGATAGCACCTATCTTGACTGTATAGTGAATCGCACAAGCTCTTAGAACTAGAATGTGGTTAACTAGCATCTATGAAGCAGCCAAGAAATTTATGAGACAACTATCCAAACGGATACCTGCCGATTGAGCTCATATTATGAATTGTTTTAGTGAATTTTTGGGTATTAATCGAACAATGAAAAAAACGAAATTTTGTCCATAGATAATTCGAATGACTTATAGAATATCCTGAAATTTTCAGTCGAAAAGAATGTTTGTTTTTTTTACCGAGATAGTGTGAGTTTTCAAAGAAACTTTATTTTTCTATCATGTTTGTGACAAGCGAACAATCTTTTCAGGTTAAAACTTTCAAAATATTCTAATCGTCAACAGACGAATCTTTGGGCAAAATTTCGTTACTTGACATTTCCGTAGATACATAACGATCCTAACTCGACTCCGAGAATAGTAACGTCGCAAAGGCTGAACTAGAGTGAGCGCCGTCCTACCACCAAAAGAAAGAAAGACCCAATAGTTATCATCATTGACACTATATTGCTTGAACTTCCTCCAAAGTCTTAAGACACTGTCCTATCATCGGCGATCTCCTGATTACACCACTATTCAAAGACCTATAGGTACAAAACTCTTTTAGACTTTTGCGAGCTTCAACAAGGAGTTCTTATAGATCCAATATAAGCTCAAACGGCGAGCATCATTTTGAGTGCTTTTCTTGTTGGTACAAAAACTTCGAGTGAGTCCGATAGTCTGTTGAGAACTGTGATTAGTCATAATTTCCGTATCTTGCATTCTATATTAAATCTTTGTGCTTTTCTCTGAACATACAGTTAAAACATTGAAATATTGTTGTTCTTGTTTATTTCTGATTTGAACCAACATAGAATGTCTTTCTTGCCAACCATGAATTTCAGTTCTAAGAGAAGCAATAGTTAATCTATTTGTTGCTTGTTCTTCATTAATTAAATTTAACTAAAAAAGAAAGCAAGCAATTAAAATTTTTCAAATAAAATATTTTTTCTTCGAAAGAAAATAATTTCAAATACTTTTTCATTAGTTTGTTCAAGTTCGGTACGTGCTGTTAAAAGTTCATATTGAATTGAACGAAATTTTTCATTTGACGTTCTAAAGAAATACAAAAAAAAATATATTTTTTTTTTCTTTTTGAAATAAAATTCTAACCGGATAAGATCATCTTTTTCATTAGTTAATTGTGTATTCTTTTTTGTAAGTATATCAATTTTTTCTTGTAAACGATTAACTTGATCACGTAAATTTTCTATTTGATGAATATCAACTGTTTGATTTGTTGATGAAGTCTAAAAGAAAATATTTTTTTTTTTTTATTAAAAAAAACAAAGCAACAGAAATTTCAATATACAGCTTGTGATGATGATGAACGTGAAACTAATAAACGAAGAAAATCTCGTTCTTGAATTAATGATGTCATCTAAGGAAAAAAGAAATTATGTAACTTTCTTTTTTTTGAAAGGATTAAAACCTGTGTTTCTAATGAATCAAATTGATTTTTTGTTTCTTTTAATTTTTCTTGTTGTTGTTGATGTTCTTTTTTAAGTTCATCAAATCTTGTTCGATTAAGATCTTCATCATCATTATTATGTTGTGCACGCATTTCACGTACTAATTTATCTAATTTTTGATTAACATGTTGAAGTTCAACAACATTTCTAATTAAAAAAAAAAAAAAAAAAAAGATAAATTAATTTAAGGAAAAAAAGGATCAAGTCATGTATTCACCGAAATGTTAATGGTACTTCTTGGTTAGGATCATATTCGGGTGATGTTTCACGTTCCGATGGACGTTTACCTGTACGTAATTCTTCGATTTCAGCAAGAAGAACTTGAATCTAGATAATAAAAAGAAAAGAAATTTATGTGTAAATCTTAAAGTTTGTCAGTAGAGATAGTAAAATGAACAGAACTTGATTTGTTTTTGAAAAGTTTATCGTATAAATTCAGATCCGACTTAATTATTATTCAATTATGTATTACTTACAAAGGAAACTTCCCAAATTGAAAATTGTTTCTGAGTCCGGACTCTGTGCATAAAGTATAACCCTATGAGATATTAAAAATCCCGCAAGGATCTAACGAGGGAACCTCTCCAAGTGATACTCTCGGTTTGGACTCATATTTTGCCTATAGGTAGGATTCATAGCGTAGGTAAGAGCCCTAAAAGGGTTTGTGCCCATAGCCTGTTGTTGTTGAGATATTACGTTTTTAAGATATTGGAATAACTCACTACCGTGATCCCCCTCAGGAACATGAGAAAAACTCATTTGAAAATTTCGACTTGAAACTTTGTACAGAGAGAGGTCTCAATGAGAGTGGTTTATTGTAAAAGTTTCAGACCTATTCCTTGTTCCAGTCCTAAGATACGGCTATGGTGACCTATGTCACTTGCAGAGGCAAGTTTTGGTGTTTGTATTTCCAATTAGGAGCATTCAGCAAAGCTGAAACTTTCACAATAAACCACTCTCATTGAGACCTCGCTATACAAAGTTTCAAGTCGGAATTTTCAAATGAGTTTTTCTCATGTTCCTGAGCGGGACCATGGTAGTAAGTTATTCCAATACCTTAAAAATGTAATATCTCAACAACAACAGGCTATGGGCACAAACCNTGGCCATAACCCTCGAAAGAAGCAACATGGGCCCAAATCCTCTTAGGCTTTTTCTTAGCATACTGACCCCTACATATGGGCAAAATATAAGCAAAATCGGCGTGAATCACTTGAAACGGTTCCCTCGTAAGTATCGTAACATGCTGAACAGAAAAAGAAGATAAAAAAATCAAAATGAAAGTAATATAAGGGTATGCGGGTGTGAATGTCTGAATGTGCGTGTCAGTGTGGCTGTGGTGTACAACAAAAGGAAACATTTAGAGTCCACTCTAGTTTCAACCACACCCTTTACACGATTTGCAGGATTGCATAACCATTTTGCACTTGGATTTCGTTATTTTGTTTTACTTCGTTTACCCTATCAAAGTATGCTTGATCGTTGTTTGCTGAATTCGTTACAATGCCAAAAAAAAATGAGAAACATGTTGTAAAAAGTTGACTAAATACGACTTGGCTCATGCAGCCCCATCTTTTAAAAAAAGAATCGTGAGTCCTTTTCTTAGATTTTTAATGCTTCAATTAATGAGAAAATATTGTTCATGCCAAAAACATTTTGTGAAATCATTTAACCAGACGTACTTAATTTCAAATGAAAACTCTGATTTCATCAATATTAGATAAACTTTTATTATTTTTTATCATTATGATTGATCATACAAATAATACAAAATTCTCTTTTCTTTTTTGTGCTTTCTGTAGTCTATCTTTTTCCCTTTCAGAAAAGTTACAATGAGCGATCCATAATTCTTTGAGTGATGGGCTATATTTAATCAATTGGATAAGTGAATCGACACATAAGTCATTAATATCATATGAAGAGATATAAAATTCAGTGAGAGTTTTGTTGTAATATTGTATTGCTTCTGCTAGTATTTCAACACCTTTGTTCCCAATATTGTTGAGACCTAGATGAAGCGCTGTTAATGTATCATTTACTTTTATCATTTCGGCAAGATGTTTTGCACCAACATTTGTAATTTTATTCTTTGTTAAGTCAAGGAATTTTACATTGTTAGTATTATTTGAAAGTGAATTGGCTAGATGATAAATACCATCATCATCTATATAATTATGATTTAGACGAATTTCTTGTAAACTATTTTCTTGATTTAGTGAATTAGCTATGATTGCCACACTAGCTGATGTTATTTTGCATTCAAATAAACTTAGTACTCTACATTGCTTTTTGATGACACCTTCTTCGACAATAAACTCCATATCGTGTTCGGTTATTGAACTATACCCAAATGATAATTGTTCGTATGTTCTCAAACGTTCTATCGATTGTCGTAAGTGAATAGTTTTATATGAATTAGTTCCTTACAACAATATAATAGATCTTAATCTAATAAAGAAAAAAAAACAACCTACCTGATTCTGTCTCATCATTTGAAAAATTATTCATTGTTCTTTTTGCTTTCTTCTTTGTTTTCATGCCTAAAAAGTAACAGTGTCATGAAAATAATTACTCGATATGGTTTTCTGACTGATTATATTCCTCAAGAAATATTTGAAGAACAACTAAATGTTCGAGGTTGTTCAATTTGTTAAATAGTTCGTAAATCCGAATTAAAATCATTTGGATCTCTTCAGTATCTATTTTATTCATTGACATAAAAGATGAATACGTAATATCAAGTTCTATAAATAAATGTACTAAATACGAGCAGTTTTTCAAATGTAAACTCCGCAAAGTTTTGTTTTTCATTTTTCTTGATATTAAATCAAAGTAATGAAAAGAGTGTATTCAATATCTCGAACGACTGATTCACTATTTACCTGTGGCCATGTTAATCAATGAATAAACTTTAATGCAATATTAAAACCAGAATATCTGAAACTAAAAGTCTTACTTAGCATTATATTTATTAATGTTAAGAAACTTACTCCATTCAATACAATAAGCCTATCATATTCATGAATTTATATTACTTCTTTTCTGATGCAATGAAGTCTAAAGGTTTTATTTATCCACAACTACGCATTTCTTTCACAATTACAACCAATAGAACACAACTATGACACAAGACAAATATAATTATTCAAAACAATGGGTAAATATTTGAGAATCTATAACGTTGATTTCATAGCAGCTAAGGTCATGTTTTTTCATTATCATAGTGAACAATAATAGTGATTAAAATAACAGGATAAATGAAAGTAACTTGAGTTTCCGATGAGTTTTATTATCATTTTAAATAGAACGTATTAAAAGTTTATGGATAGAATGAAATAAAAGACAAGTTAATGTACGTATATATATATATCTACTATACTATCAACATATACATAAATATCTAGTGAATCGTGTCATCTAGAAGAATCTGTAATAGGGTGTAGGTGTGGGTGCCAAGGAATGACAAATATCAAATGGGTACCAACTTTCAAAATTTATATGCCAAAGTTTTCAAAACTTTTCAAAATTTTACTGACTTGAAATAATGAGAAAGATTGAGTTGGTATCATGGTAGTTAGAGTGTATGGGTGTGGGTGTGGGTATGTGGGTGTGGGTGTGGGTGTGGGTGTGGGTGTGGGTGTGGGTGGGTGTGAGTGGGTGTGGGTGTAGGTGTGGGTGTGGTGTGGGTGTGGATGTGGATGTGAGTGTTTCACGTTTATTAACCTCAGCAGGAACACCCAGCTGCTCACACGCATACTCCACAAGCACTCCCACATCCACACCCCACACCCATCCACACCCACACCCACAACTCACACACCCACACACAGACCGACACCCATCCACACCCACACCCACACCCACACCCTCCCTTCTTTGATACTGATGATCATTTAATTAGTTTTCCAATGTTCCTAAATTTTCGAATCTTTTTTTATCCAATTGTACTCATTTCCATAGTTCATGATGATCTTTTAATTCATAGATGATCAGTTTTCTCAGTTAATACCCATAATGCTAAATGTTGGAATGTGTGTGTGTGGGTGGGTGGAAAGTAGACACTTACACCCACACTCGAGTGAAAACGAGCGCCAGATGACGGAAATATTATGGCATTTCAAAGCGAGGAAGCTCATCAAATATTAAAGAAAAGAATCACTGAATCTATTCGATAAAACAATGTTTTATTTGTGATCTGTGAAGAAAAAGATCAATCATATCATATCTAAATGCAAGCGGATTGATCGAGAACTCATCGATACCTATGATCTTTATCAACTGTTATCTCGATATTTGTTCATGGAAAACCACGAAACACAGCACATTTGATGTCTCCTTTTCAATCATATCAGAAGGTACATGATTCAATTCTGACAATACTAAAATTAGACAATATTTTAATAACTTCATTTTGATTTCATGCCGAAACGATGAATTTTCAAAGATCCACATAAAACTTCATTTTGTTTTTGATTATTGAATCTGTGTTGAAGGCGATGGCATTGATTCTTGATTATTTCTAGAATAAATTCTATCAGTCAAAGGTACATTTTTTGTTTCAGGTAGTAGGCAAGTTAATAAAAGTATCAACAGAGCCAAAGCAGCATAAATATAAAATGTGATTGATAAATAATGTTCGTTAATATTAGCATCAATAACAGGTGCTAAAATAGCTCCTATCCTACTGACAGCAACTGCAAAACCATTGGCACTACTTCGAATCGATGTTGGAAATAATTCTGATATATAAATCCATGTTATTGCCATTGATGCTGATATAGAGAATTTACCAAATTGAGATATAATAACTGTTCCTATTGTACTTCGTTTAGTTAATAATGGAATAAGAAAAACACATAGACTTGTCAAACCAGTAAACATCATAAAAGAATATTTTCGACCAAGTCGTCCAGACATAACTATATTTGCAGAAATATATCCACATATTTCCACAATCGATCCAATAGTCATAGCTATATGTGGAGAAATATTCATCTTAGCAAGTCCATAAGAAATCTTAATAAATAA